GTATTGAAAATAAAAAATAAAAATTTAAAATAAAATATAATATTCCTCCATTAACTTTTTTCACCTTGCATTGTTGTTTTTTTATTGTTCTTTTGGAGGTTATCTGTTTATATTGTTATCCCAATACAGCCATAAGCTAAAAAATGCTAACAGCCTGAAGAGACAATGGAAAGATTATCTCCTTGAGTCTCCAGAGGAAATGCAGTCCTGAAAGTACTGATTTTGGACTTCTGATTCCCAGAACTGCCAAATAATAAATTTCTGTTGTTTTAGGCAGTCAAGTTTGTGGCAGTTTGTTACAGCAGCCACAGGGCACTAATACATCACTTTGCCTTTCTTTCATAGTATGGTGGGGACAATTAACCCTGTGTGACACTGTGTACTGGAAAAAGTCTCTGTGATGTTTCTGACAACATTGTTGTGATGTGACAAGTTGGAAACAATTCCAGTGTCCATCAGTGACAAAGAGGATAGGAACAAGGCAAATACACTCCATGGAGTAGTATGTAGCCTGGAGGATTAGGATCTTGGGTAGATTTTAAAGTCATAATGCCAAAGGATAATTGGGAGCCAGATGAGCTCTATAATTTACAGCCCTGTTTCAGTTAAAAAGCAGTTGCACGTAACACAAAATATATACGGTTATAAGAATACATATAGCTGGGTGTGGTGGTACAGGCCTGTAATCCCAGCACTCAGAAGGCTGACACAGGAGGATTGCTGTGAATTTGAGGCCAGTCTGGTCTATATAGTGAATTCAAGGCCAGCCTGAATTACAGAATTCCTTGTCTCTAAATAAATAAATAGCATGCTGGGACTGGGGGGACCCATCAAGAAGCCAACTAGCCAGGCTTTCTGGAAAGCCTCACAAGCCATGCTGGTTCCAGGAAAAACTGGACCACACCTCCTGTGAGCCTACCTCCAACCCCTGTAAGCAATCAGCAGGAGCACAGGCTGTTGATAGCAACTAAGGTACATAAAGCAACTAAATGCTTGTATTGTTTGGTTGATTTTGCAGGCCTGGGGCCAGTGGTCTGAACATCTCTTCGGAGGATGATAGTAATATAGCAAATATGGGGGATTTCCTTTTAGCCTGTTTCTGAAATCCAATATTGTTCTCACTGTTTTGCTTTGTTCTGATTGTTTTTGCTTTATTCAATATTCTGTTTTGATTGGTTTTATTATGCTTTGTTTTTGGTTTGATTTTGCTATACCTGATGGTATTGACAACTGTTGTGAAGATAACAAGATATACTACATTACCTATTGTCATTTTTCTAGTATCCTGCTTTGAAGTTCTGTACCAATTTTGCTGCTTTGCTTTGACTGGCTTTGTTCTGTTTTGTTTTGTTGGATTTTACTATCTTTAAAAGAAAAAAGAATACATATAAAGAAAGGATATATATTAGGTACTTTAAAATAGTTGCTTTGGGGCTGGGGATTTAGCTCAGCGGCATAAGCGCCTGCCTTGCAAGCAGACAGTCGTGAGTTCGATCCCCGGTACTGATAAAAAAGAAAAATACAATAAAATAAAATAAAATAAAATAAAATAGTTGCTTTGGGGTGTGGCCAAAGAATAGGAATGAGGAATAGGACTGTGTTGGTCAGCTTCCCATAACAAAATGCCTGAGAAAATCACCTTAACAAGAAGAAAGGTTTGTTTTGGATCACCATTTTGAAGGTTTAAGTCCATGACCAATTGGCCCCTTTGCTTTTGGGCCTGTGGCACGGCAGTTTATCAAGGCAGGAATGGTAGTGGAGGAAGCCCATTCACCTCATGGCCAGGAATGAAACAGAAAGAAGAGGCAAGGGTCCCACACTACTCTTCCAGGGCATACCCCACTGACCTGAAACCTTCAAATAGGCTCCGTCTCCTAAAGACTGAACCACATACGAGTTGTGCCACAGGCTAAGGACTAAGCCTCTGTCACATGGGCCTTTGAGCACACATTGCAAATCCAAACTATTGTCATGTGATGAAAGTGGATGATGAAGAAATACATGAAAACAAAATGCAACCCTGGGATCAGCAGTGCATTATGAACAGTAGTATTAACTCTCTGTGCCTGAGGTCTAACTGATACAATCAGCAGCAGCATCTCATCCAAGAGTATTTCAAAACAGAGAAAAGCCAAACTTTACTTCTACTTCTGAACCATACAATTCAGAGGAAATACAAATGTAACATGTATGCTAACCAGCTCAAATTAGCCTTTCACAGTGTGTACATATTTCAAGATAACATGTTATACACAATATGGACATTTTTTTTCAATTAAAATAAGTAAAGTCTTTTTACAGAGAAATAAATTGAACAGTTTTTCCTGATTTGGAGAGCTAAAACCACTGGCCTTAGAGTTGCAGGGTATGGTTCCAGATCTGATTTTCCCAGTCTAGTTGCTGTGTTCTGAATGTTTAAGTTGCCCAAAATTTATATGCTGAAATCCTCATTCCCAAACAAATGGAGACTTTTGGGGGCGATTAGCTCATGGGGGTAGAGCACTAATCAGTGGTCTTAGTACCCTTATAAAAGAGGCTAAGGAAGACCATTTAGCCCTTCCAACGTGGGAAGTCAGAAAGAGAACACAGCTGTCTGTGAGATGGGCCCTTACCAGATGCACTAATTTTGCTAGTGCTTTAGTCTCCTCAACTTTGCAACCTTTAGAACTGGGACAAATACATTTCTGTTGTGCCTTGTCCAAAACAAAGAAACAAAAGTATATTTAATGAGCTAAGATTTCTTGCTCTGAACCTAGAGAAATGACCTCATTTTTTTACCTCTCCTTTGGGTCTTCTTTTGTATTTTTAATCTCTTCCTGCTCATTCAGAAGGATGCCTGTGTCCATACACTGAAAAAGGCAAAAGAGAAAGGTATGTTAATATTTGTGTAAAGCATTGTTTACAAGACACATAAATGAGTGAAATAGGCCAGGTCTTTGGGCAGGGTGGTGGGAGAGCAAAAGTCACAGAAATGAGGGAAGAAAGTACATTTGTGTGTGTTTTACTGTAATTCGCAAATATCTGCATCATTTGGGAATGTTCTTAAAATGCAGATTCTGGATCAGTAAAGCTTTTAACAATTTCCCACCCGATGCTGATGCTGCTGGTCCATGAATTATACTTTGTCCTAGAGGACAATTTACAGATTAAAAACATTTTGGGAAGATGCTCTCAACCATTTCTTCGGGTGAGATTTTGGTTTATCACATGCCCTCTACATTTGAAAAATGAAGTGTAGGGGCTGGAGATTTAGCTAAGCGGCATAAGCGCCTGCCTTGCAAGTATGTGGTCGTGAGTTCGATCCTCGGTACCGATAAAAAAGAAAAAGACAAAAAAAAAAAAAAAAGAAAAAGAAAAAAAGAAAGGTAATATGGGAATATCCCCAATGACTTACAGAGAAGAATGTAGCATAGAAATCTCAAATAGAAATTCTTGTCCAGGCCAGTATGGGGTTGCAGACGATACAGCTGTAGGTCCTCTTCTTATCTGCAGGGGGCGTTGCTACTAACTGCTGGCACATGGTTGCCAGGCAGAAGTGCCAGTGTAGGATCCCCTTATTCTCCAGTTTTTCAAGAGATGTGAAATGAGGGTTTTATGTGAAAATTTCTGATTTCTAAATGTTTTCAATTAACTTTTTCCCTCAAAAAGCTCTTCATAAAAGCTAAGCAAAACAAGTCTGTTGACCAGATGCAGCCAGCATCCACGGTGCTTGTTCATTCTTCCCTCCATGATTTTGCCAGGGCCTTGGGAAGCAGAAAACGACCTGGGTTAGGTCCTTCCCATAGGTGTGGCGGAAGTATCTGCACATGCAGTAGCCACGGAGCAGCGCAAAGCCAGGTGTCTGCAAGGCAGAAAAGAAGTGTAACTCATTCAGAGGAGTTGAGAAACCAAGCCCTGTGAGACTTCTTTTTAATTTGAATTCACATTTATTTAAATATAACAGTTTTGCAGGCAAAGTACTTCAAATACGGTAGATATAAATAAAAATAAAATATTTTAGAAAATTTTAACGTTAGACAAATAGACTATATGTTTACATTTAGTTTTAAGAGTCCATTAAAATGAATTTTGAAAAAGATGAGTAATCACTAACAGTGTTACAAAATGTTCACATTCGTGTCAGTAATATTTCCTAGACAGACATTTTATGAAAACAATGTAAAGCTCTAATTGAATCACTGACCTCATATAACATCATTTGTAAATGAAGCGCATTTTTGTCAATAAAAATGTTCCTGTAACTTTAAATAATATAGCTTCTTAAAATCAAGACCATACCATGTTTATTAAACAAGCATGCATAATACATTAAAAATTGAATAATCTGTGTACTTTTATGCACAGTGTTCAGTGTTACTACTATACTCTATCTTTACAAGTAGACTTGGAATTTCAGCACAGAATAAATTGCATTGCCAACTAATCAAGATATATGTGACTTAGCTTTTCCACAGCACAGAAAATTCTTCCACAACTTTATTCTTCACTTTACACATATTGACAAACAGCAGTTCTCTTCAGTTGTAGTGAATAATGGATATCTAAGAACTAAAAGTTATAGCGAACTGTTCTGCCTACACTGTGATTGGAAATGAATTGAGCTCAGAATTTATAATAGTAAAACATTTCCATGTATTGTGGCAACAAATTTCTAAATATGGGTGTTATCAGCCATAATACTTACCATTGTGAGATGCTTTTTGTCAGGAGGTAGAGAGGTTGAAAGGGAAGTATGGTCTCTTCAGAAACTGGGAAGGCATATGGTGAGGAGGACAAGGGCCAACCGAGGCAGAAGCCAGGGAAATTCTCTGGGTTGATGGTTAGAGAACACGTTCAGAAGTGGGGAAAGACTGGAAAACAAAGGCGGGAGCACAGGAGTCTCGGAGGGTGGGAAGGAAATTGGGAGACAAAGGAAACAAAAACACACACTCAAGAAAATGCTTCATAGCATTCTTGTACAGTATCAGCAAATTGTTACTGCTGTTGAAAAGTTTTAAATTTTCAATTCTTGGCCCTTGGGCTAAGATCAAGCGTAGTATCTGTTATCAGTTTAATGTCTGATATATCTTCCATCTGAGGACAGTATAGTAAATGGGATTTTGGAGCTGAGAAATGGAATAGGAGCTAAGCTTCATCCACTCGCTGCATTGACCTGGGTGCAGTACCTTCAGGACGGCCCACAGGAAGAGTAAAGGCCATAAAGGTTAGAATTAAAAAAATTCACATCAGTCTGTCTAAATTAAGGCTGGAGAAATTAACTGGAAATGAATTTTTTTCCCAATTTATTCATGAACACTGCAGAAGTAGGAAGGGAAAACTACGAGCTCTAACTTCCTCTGAACCAGGAGATAGAATTCACACTCAGGCTAAGCTCACACTGCAGAGATGTAACCAAGTTACAGTGTTGTATTCTGAGAGGCCAGCTGAAGCAGGCTCCTCCTTCCATAAGACCTTGATGGCTTCATTTTTGTATTATGTGGGGAAAGGGAGATGGCACTGATTGCTCCATTTTTATTCTAAAGAATGAAACAATAAACATGATATTTTATTTGCTGTAGGATCTTTGCTTTTCTGAGGATCTTTAAAAAGGGTACAGTGGTAATGAACATAATACCAAGCAGGTTAAACAAAATAGGCAACCTTTTTTTTTTCCTTTTTAAAGCCATTAAAGTGCAAACACATAAAAATTACGAGTCACAGAGCAGAATATTCAAGAGTAAAATCATACCAAAACCTCAGTAGGGTTTTGCTGATATCATAAAGTGGTCAAGAAGGTCATCGATGACCTGGTCACTTGAGAGCTCAGCCACATGAGATCTGTTCTCCAGGGCAGGCTACAGTCACATGAGGGGTGCTTTTCTTGCCCACCTCCAGTCTTTGGCTGCCTTCTACTTCTAAAGTTTGCCTCTTGGCTCCTTTGTGAGGCTTTTAGATTCTGGAGGTAGCATGAAAATACTTCTAATTTGAGAGTCCTACACATAAAGGGAGATGGTTTTCTATCAGTGATATTTTGCCATTTGCTGTCCAGAAATTTTTTTCACAGTTAAAAATTACTTCTGATGCATTGACTGTGTACAAAATAAAATGCACTGTTTTATTAAATTTATTTGTAATGAAATTATGTCAGAGAAACAAAATCATATGAGATAATACATGTAAAGTTCTGGCAATAAGGCTGACTCATAATAAGTGTTCGTTGAACACTAGATTCTTCTACTTGCCTTTAGAGGTCATGGAGCATAGAGAGTGAAAGTGTAGCATATGTGCATCTTGATGTTATTACATTTCAAGTTGTTCCCTTATCAAACAGCAGGTGTTTCACTGTGTGACTTGAGTGTGCTGAAACCTTAGCACACGAATGATGAAAAACATGTAGTTAACTAGTCTTATTGCAATACATTAAGCAATTTAAGGGTTAACTTGAAACAGACAAAAATAGATGAAATTTACTTATTTTTGAGTTAATGGTTGCCAGAATTAATCAAGTCACAAATGTGCATAATTTCTTTTTTAAAACTGGAATTTTTAAATGCTTATTCTTAGCAATTCTGTAATATTAATTTCATGCTAAATAAGTCATTATTAAATGCTTATGAGGAAAACTATTTTTAAGCCATGTGCTCATTTTAAAAATGTAACTTATTATTTTCTGCAGTAAAAATGTGCTAGATTAGTTACAATACACCGTGACTGGTGGGATGTATGTTAAATAAGAATGCATTTTTTGCTTAACTAAAGAAAACTGAACTAAAACTGGCTTAATGTTATTTGGAAACAGGGTGTATGTATTGTTGTTCAGTGGAGAAAGGACAGATTTTTGTTTCCTGCAAATTAAATGTTGGAGACAGAAAAGGTTGTTTCTCTAGCCTCCAACATTCATGGAACTTTAGTAAGTAGATAAAAGAGTTTCCTGTCTTGTCTCTCTCTTGTATGGCCTGGGTCTCCTTACATCCTTTTTTTTTTTTTTTTTTTAAATGAAACTTGCTATTCTCTTGAGTTTACTTCATATTAAAAAATATGGATCTATTGATCTAGGAAGAGGAAATGTTGATTAATTAAAGGAAGATTCCTTTCACTACATTGATCCCCACAGACAAGGTACACTATGTCTTTTCACCATAGTAACCTCAGAGCCTACCATGCACCTCAGCTTAATTCTGGGGCCACAGAAACTTGAAATAATACCAGTTTAAGCAAAATAGAAACATTTTTTCTCTATTGTTTAGAAGCTTCAGAGTTAGTCAAGCCCCGTAACTCCCATGATTGTTGAGGACTTAAGGACTTTTTCATTGTCTTTGCTCAGCTGTCTTCATCCCATAAATACCATCCTTGAAGGTAGCTGATGGTCTAAGATTGCAGAGTCACATGGCCACCCTGTGTGAGTCAGCTTTTTGGTTCTGTAACAACATACTTAAGATGATTTATAAAGAGGAGCTGAGCATGGTGGCACATGCCTCTAAACCCAACATCTAGGAAGTTGAGGCAGGAGAACTGAAAGTTCAAGCCCAGCCTGGGCAATTTAGTGACTTACACCCTATCTCATAAAAAAAGAAAAATAATTAGAATGGGGCTGGGGATGTAGCTCAGTACAACAACCCTTGGTTCAATTCTCAGTAATAAAAAGAGATAGTATTTTGGCTCACAGTTTTGCATATGAAACATCCCTGGTTGATTGGACCCACTGCTTTTGGGCCTGTGGCATGACTTTATGTCATGGTGGGAGCCCATGGCAGAGAAAGCACATTTATCTTATAGCTGGAAATGAAAGACACAGAAGAAGATGAAGAGATCAGGATCTTTTTTTTTTTTTTTTGAAGAGCAGAATATATTTATTAAGAGAAAGAAAGCTTCTGTCTGAAAAGAGACGGAAGGGGGTCCCAAGCAGGTTGCCCAGAGATCAGGATCTTATAAACCTATATTGAGCACATTGCCCCAGTAAACTAAAACTGCCCAACAGACCCCCACCTTTTAAAAGTTCCACCAGTTCTCAATGGTCAGTGGGCTGGAGACTAAGGGTTTATCATATGGGCTTTTGGGGACATTCATGATCCAAACTATAGAAGACCACTAGCTGGAAGCAGTCTGGGAAATGTACAGTACTTGTTTATATAGTTTATATACTGATGAGCTAAATTTAAAAAGTGTTCTGATAACAATAAGGGGAAAAAGTTGTAAAATGAAATTAATAAGGACAATATAATTAGTTTCTCATGAAGTATATTCAATTTATAAGATTTATTTCCCCTCATCTTTTCCTCTGTGTGTGTGTGTGTATGTATGTATATGCTACAACCTTTTCTTAAGGTTGAATGATGTTTCTTTAAAAAAGAAATTAGAATGATAGACTTTTTCCCTTGTAAATTCTTTGAGATAAGGTCTCACTGTGTAGTTCAGGCTGGCCTCAAAATCACTATGTAACCCATGCTGGAATCAAACCACCAGTGATCATCTTGTCTCAGCCTCCTGAGTGCTGGGATTATAGGCACTACCACATCTGGCCCCTTCTAAATTCTTTATTTGATCAAATAAAAAAATGTAGTACTGATAATGCCATAATATTATTGACCTTTGCTGTCTGTAATCTAAGGAATTTCTGGTTTCTCCAAGTCCAAGATTCTCACAGATCTATCTATGTCTTCCACACAGTTTGTATATTTCATGCCTTCCTTATGCTTGGTAGTAACAGAACCTGCTACTCCAATGCATGGGGCACTGACATTTGAAAAAACAGTAGAAACAGGAAGGAACTTTCACCCTCCAAACTCTCTTCTTTCTCAAAGCCCATCATAAATCTTAGGAAAAATTTTCTGAACTTTCCCTAATGCAAGTCATAAAGATGCCATCCCCATATCCAGAAGAAAGGAACATCCTTGTCTCCAAAGACACAGAGTAGAGAAATCTGAACAAACAGTCCTTGCTAAGCCTCCTTGCTTATGGTCAGTCATCATGTTCTTTGCCCTATTGCATCTCTTTATGACTGTTCAATCTCTGCCAAACCTACTATAAAAATTCACAGGCTTAGCTGCTTCTTTGGATCTTTATTTCTCACGAAATATGTAACTTTGTTAAACATATTTGTGTGTTTTTCTGTTGTTCAACTGTCCTTTGCTACAGAGGCCTCAGCCACAAACTTAGGCTAGGTAAGGCACAGATATTTTTCTTGCTCTACAATGGACTGTCATTAAGTATCTGTTGATTAACTTATCAGAGTGATAATACCTAGCAACTCAGTGATAAGCTGTGATCTCAGGTTCTCATCACTGAAGTCAGCACAGGAGAGAGGATAGTTGCTGCAAAGATATGGGAAAATCTTGTTGACAATGAATTACAGAAAAAAGTCCATTTCCCTTACAACTGGGTTTCAAAATAGAGAGTTGAAAATAGAAAATATCCTGTTTCTCATAGAAGAACACAGCCTATCAACTTCTTTATTTTCTTTCTTCCCCAAACTTTGGCTGGCATAGGGACTTTGGTTCCTGTGGTACAAGGGTGATTCAGTCTTTCAGTGTTTCGATTCCAGATTTCCCAGCTATAACTTGACTGTTCAATTAAATTACCTATGGTAACTACTGAGAGAACTAGGATAGGTGTGCCTCCATGTACTGTATGATTCTGACCTGGTAAACTCCACTGTTAGGTGAAAATATCTCATGTCAAAATGGAGTTGATACATCTAACTTACTTGAATATTGCACTTTTAGCCAGCATAGTACAATGTACAGCAGAGGGTCAGCGGTTTTCCCTTGTAATCTTGTGGTTGATGAGAGAGAGTGGCCGCGACTGCCCTGTGTTATTAGGATCATATCACTAGCCTAGGAAAAGAGCAAAATCGAAAACTTACAGTATGACTTTTACCAAATATTGTTTTTGGACCATTGCAAAGTTGAAAAATTGTTAAGTTGAACCATTATGAATCCGAAACAATCTGTGAAACATATCCTAGATGTATTCTTTCAGCAGTGACCTAGAGTCAGTGTGTGGGTAGGGGGAGGGATTACTTATAACATATTTCCTATTTCCCATTAATTTCTACCCTGTACTTCCTATCTTCCATTAATTTCTATCTCCTGCAGCTCTTCTGTCATTGTGACTGTTAGTCATGATAATCAACTTCAGTGCATTAAAAAAAAACCTAGTAGCTTAATACAGCACAGTTCTGGGGATGTCTGTGGATGGCTACCATGTAAGCAAGCAAACAGGAAGACCCAGATACAGGTGGGACTATCCAGTAGACTTGTAGCCTGGATGAAATAAAAAGAAAAGGAAGAAAGTCTGCTTGTTTTGAAGAGCTCTGATCTTCCCAAGTGGGTGCACCGTTTGATGCCTTTACTTTTAGACATCAGCCTTCAGTTTCTTCAGCCTTCCGATGTAGATTGCACTGGGGACTCTGCAGTGAGCTTCTAGGCCTTCACCTTTGGAGTGGTGCGGCACTCTTGATTCCTCTTGTTTTATGGTTTTCATCTTGTTGGACTGAGCAACTATGAGGTCCTCTAACTCTTGAGCACCCATAATATTATCATAGACTCTCTTGCCTCTGAGCCTGTAAACCTATCTAATGAATCTTTGTACATAGTTACATTTGTTTTGGATTTGGTTCCTCCAGAGAACCTATTATACCTCCCTTCTTTGAGTTCAGGTGTGTTTTTCTTTTAAGGGAAGTAGATCAAAGACTATCACTATTACTTGCTCTGTCTTTTATTTATTTATTTATTTTTTTGGTACTGGGGATTGAAGTATTTCCTCCACAAATATTACTCTCATTGTTGTCTTAATTCAATGTTTATTTCTTCAGTTAATATGTTTGAATGAGGAGGCAATATAGTGATTGGAGTATACAAACCTCTGGGATCACATGACCAATTATTTTCTCTCTGTGTAACTTAGGCTACAAGCAAGCACATAGGAAGAGGTAAGAAGCACAAGCACAAGAGTGAATCTACCTGGATCTGAAGCTATGTTTCAACACCTACTAAGAAAGATGGCTCTGTGCATCTTATTCTATATCTGAATTTTAAATAGTCTCACACACAAATCACTGTGAGGAGTAAAGGAAATAATGCAGGTCAAGGAATCAGTCCGGGGCCTGGACTTAATAAATGTACATTAAATATTCATGTTTGAGGCATCAAAGGCAAATACCAAAGCCATGGACAAGATAATGCTTGGTGTTAGAGCACCAAATGAGGGTGGAGAGATACACAGGTGTCTGAACTCATTCTAAAAGTAGAAATCTGGCTACAATGACTTCTGCAATGCTCATTCTGAGACAGGTGATTCTGTTTGTTGAACTCTGAAGGAAGATTTGTCAGAAGCTTTGCAGCACTCAGTAGGTGTTACTTTTTCTCCTCTAGAAGGTAAAAATTTAATGTAAATGATGTAATAATCTTCACAGTTTTCATTTTTTTCCACATTACTTAAATATGATTAAGCTCTCTACTAAAACCAGATTGGTTTGCTGAGGCACACATACACCATTTTATGATTCATTTCAAAGTAAGATTTGTGCAAAGTGATCATCTCATTTTTGCTTAAAATATTAGGAGAGCTCCAAATATATGGGTGCCAGATTAAAGTGAATGTCTATAAATTCTCACACATTTAAATTTGGAACTTTATACTATAAATGCTTTTCATTTAGGTACAAATTACACCCACACATGGTATCATTTCACATACTGGCAAAGTATCATGAACCTAAACCCTCTTTAATAACTACCGGGTTAAAAAGACACAACACTGCAAGATGGCAAGATCTGAATTAATACTACAAATATTAGAAGTGATTCTTCACCAAAGAGGTAACTAAAAAACACAGCGAGGGCTGGGGATTTAGCTCAGCGGTATAAGTGCCTGCTTTGCAAGAGTCGTGAGTTCCGGTACCAAAACACACACACACACACACACACACACACACACACACACACACACAAACCCCCCCCAACCCCCCCCCAAAAAAAACCCAGCAAATGTTTAAATTTTAAAAATTTTGTTACAGTAAATGACACATTGCCATTAATCTTCTCCAGAATGCTGCCCGCTTGCTTTGCGCACTTATTTCATTGTTCCTGCCATCTTCTGGAGCAGTTATAGAAGTCTCCTCTCGTCTTTATGAAGGGTGATTTAAAAAAATATATGGTGAATGCTGCTGCCAAGAGGCATCCAACAGAAGGGGAAACTTGTAAAAACAGTGCTGTGGCCACATGCACATTTTTTTTTACTGCATCTGGCACGATGTGAGTTCTGTCAAAATGGTCAAAATACAATGCCAGGTAAACGTCTTGAATTGATTCAGGATATGGAGGTAGCCACCGGTGCAACTAAAGTCACCCACGAAACAGGACTTCCAGAAGTGCCTCAGAGAGAGGCAGGAATGATGATGTTGTTGGGCAGTCTTTTGTCAGCTAAACATTACCAGGTTCTGGGTTGCTCACCTTTCCTTCTGGAGTTGGATTCCAGGTTCTTCTCAACTCGAACAAAGAATTAAACCAAATGAGCAAAAAGGAATGGCAAAGTTTATTCAAGAAAGCAAAAGTGAGGGGTTGGGGATATCATGCAGCAGCATAAGCACCTACCTGACAAGCACAAGGTCCTGAGTGCAGTCCCAGGGATCCATAAAAAAGAAAGCAAAAGTGAAGAGTTGGAGAGAAACTGGCTCTGCAGAGCAAGCATAGGCCAAAAGAAGGGAAAAAGAGACACTGTGTCTGGGAAATGAGGGAAGTTATACTAGCACAGCTCCTCGTGGCTGTTTCCTTTTTACCGTCCAAATCTGGAGGAAACCCACAAAACTTCTTCACAGGGGTCTTGAGAATTGGTGCGGGGGTCCCAAGCTTCAGGCTGACGTCAGGTCCACGTTTTTCTATTGAAAACCTACTGAAGTTCTCCAGAGAAAATCCACATGCAGAGCTTCGGGAGCTGCTTTGCACATGTCAGGGATCTTGTCCTTAACAAGTCACGCCCACTTCCCCAGTCACCTTTTACCACGTGCCTATAATCTCCTACCGCAATGGAATAATTGTGTTTGAAATTCAGGTATTTTGAAATGATGTCTTTTACTGTAATAAATGTTTAAATTTAACATTCACCGGAATTTTTTCAATCACGTCTCATAGGTAAAAAGGACCTGAGTAATAAGATCCTTTCTCTAAAGAAATACATAGCTTCATTGCTTCCTTTGCTAGTAATTGCAAGACTAAAACATTAATTTAAAATTTCCCGCAAGCCTTACTTTCTTGTAACCAAAGTGTCACAGTGAGTGTCACTCAAACACATACACTATTCACATCACAGGATATATACTTAAAGAAAATAGACCTCTTTAGTAGACGGGGACTCAAACAGTCCCAGATTCTGCCCTTTTTGTCTTCAGTTTTAGATCAGGTCCCTTTACTGTATTCTTTCTTTAGAATTTTATTGCTACACCTACCATACACTCTTTTTATCACTAAGAGCTATAAAGTAACTTAAATTTCTGAATTGAATCCAGCCTCTGGTAAAATGGGTATTCCTTAACTGTAATAGCTTGTGTTTAAATAATTGAGAGCCAATTTTTAGGCATACATTTGACTTTATTTTTTAGAAGCATACGTGAAGTAGTTTTACAATTATAATTTACGATTGAGACATCGATTTAAAAATTTTCTGAACACCATAGCTTCATATTATCGTATATACCTATTTTTTAAATTAAATTTATGTTAAGATTTCCCTGTATTACTAATTCAAGGATAAAAAATAACCTAAGGTAAGCTAATACCACCCACATGGATGAAAGTCTTGAAAAATGCTCTTATTTATTTACATGGCTTTAAATATAATTTGACCTGATTTGAACCTTAAACATTGTATAGGCCTGGGAGGGGGTGGGCCTTAAACCAAAAAATACCTCTTGCGTTGTTGAAAACAGCCAGAAAACCATGGTTCTAGGACTCTGCTAAGATTTTACTCTATTGACAAAGCCTCAATTATTTGTAAAGCACTAATTTCTAGTTTAACCTCCTCCGCACTTGAACACAATCTTAAAATAATTGAGTAGTAGTTCGATGAGAAACCCAGTTTGTGTTACCCGCCCCCCATCACGGGCGGGGGTCTACGCACAGGTGCCGGGCACCGCCCCCTAGCGCGGCCCCCAGGGGCCCGAGTCCTCGGAAATCTCACGAGAGGATGCTGGGCGCGCGGGGCCGCACGCCGCGCCCCAGAATGCACCACGGACCCGTACGTGTGCGCGCGCAGCTTCACTGAAGGACGTTCGCGGGAAAATTTCAAAAAAAGTCAAAACAAAACAAAAAGCCCATACGAGGCCAAGCCAAGTTTTCAAGCCACAGAGCCCGGGCGGTGGCTTCCTTCCCGTCGCAGCCCAAACTGCTGTAGAAGTGTTGGCGAGGACCACCCGGTAAGAGAGAGGCCGCGGAAGGAAAGGAAGACGGCGCTTCCCTCAGGCTTCTGGCCCGCGCGTCAGCTGTGGAGGTATGGGGCTGTGTGGAGGAGGAAAAGAGAGGGAAGACTCGCGAGAGTGTGGTTCATGCGCCTGAGGGTGGGTGAGCGGGGTCCTGCTGAGTTTGGGGTCCGAGGAGAAAGATGGGGAGGGTCTGGGCGGGGCCATATGGGGAGGCGGGACCAGCGGGGGGGGGCTTGGTGTTGGAGGCGGGCCTACTTTAGGGGCGTAGTCTAGGGGCGGGGGCGGGGCGTGCAGTGGATTCTTGCAGAATCCTCCCTCTCGCGATGGGAGCAGGGAGTTGGCGTTTTGCGTTTCTTTTTTGTTGGTGGGTGGTGGTGTTCATTGAGCGCAGTAGTCTATGTCTTAAAAGAATGGAGCAGAGGTGAATTTTCTTTCCGTCGGGTCTGTGGGATCATGAAGAGCTTTCTCTTGTTAACTCGCGACTCAGTGCAGCTGGCCCGGTCTTCCCCGTGTGCCAATGAGAGGAGCCCCAGGAGGCGCTGTTGGCCCTCGCGCCCTCAGCCTTTCAGCGCTGGACGGAGGGGAGTGGTTGATTCGCGACTGTCTTCCCACAACACAGAGTACTAGGGCAAATCGTTTTCAAAGCCCGTGAGGGGATACTCGGAGTGTAGTTTGTTGGCTTGCTCTTTTACATGTTTTACGCGTTTACAACTGTGCATCTTAATTCAGTGAACCTGTTGTATGGGCTCCTCCCCCCGAGCAGGGAAAAGATTTGAAAGTATTAAAATAAAAAGTTTGAGACACAAGCATATGGAAAAAGGCCGAAGTATTTTCCAGCAAAGGTTTTTGTTTTAATCTGAAACATTTTGAAAGCCTTGGGCTCTTCATGGTTTTAGTCTAACTCGTTACCTACTTAATGCGTCCGAAACTGTGATACGATTAATTTACGTTTATCACAGATTACATTTGGTCATCCACCTTCAGCTGGTTCTGAATGTTACCAGCCTTTGTTGATAGACCTTTCAGAACATTTTCTCATTACCTCCCTGAAGGGGGCAGTGGAGGAAAGTTGTTACAAATGAAAGAATTGACACCATGTGTTGGGATCATTCATCACATAGGCTGGCTTAGAGTTGTTCATTATGACTTTGTCGGTTATACTTAAATTGAGGTTTCTGTGTAATGTACTATATACTAGGTTCACCTGGAAATATAGTCATAATATATAGTCTATCATCTCTCCCTCCAGAGTAAAGTTAGAGACTATTTCTTTAGAATTGGGCTTAACTGTACTTTTGTATATGATAGATTTGAGTTCATTTTTTCATTATCATACTACATGATTTCTTGAAAGGTATTGGCTAAGACCACAGAAAAGAAGGGCAACCTGTTGGTATTTTTTGTTCTGTCCTTTTAAAGTATTGATTGGATGTGGAAGCTAAATGGCTATAGGTGTAACTGTGCATGCACACTTAAAAAAATGGTATCTTTAACCAGTTCCATATTTCAACAAGTGGTTCCGGTAACAATTACACAAGTTTTGCATTTATGAAAACCAGCTATAGAGAGGCCATGTTGGCCGATTGAAAGTTATATTGACCGTCTCAGTCACAGAGAATCCCAGAGGAATATCACATGTGTGTTGGCTCTAATTAGTAGTGGTAGAGCATCACATAAGACTGGAATCTAGCAAGAAATGATTTTTTAAAATTTTATTTTGGTCTAAGGGATATGGATATTCTTGTTTTGTGGGTCCTGAATCACTAACATTTTAATAGGAAAGGAGAGGTACCTTGAATTTTCAGTGTTTCAGTAAAAAATTCAGTAAAAGCGGTGAAGGAAAAACAGTTCATAGAACAATACAAATTTTGAGCATATTACTTTTTTTTTTTTTTTACAAAATAACAAATATCACCACCACCACCATCATCATCGTCATCATCATCTGGACCTGGTTTAGAAAGGACATTTACAAAATTGACCATTTGTTAGGCTCCTCATAACTCTTGGACATATAGAAATTATTTCTCTGTTAAGAATTGCTACATAGCTGGGCATGGTGGCACATACCTGTAATCACAGCCTAGGGGTGACTGAGGCAGGAGTTCAAGGCCAGCCTGAACTACAAAAAACAAAAACTGTTAGGAGTGTATTAGTTTTTGTTGCTGCACCAAAATACCTAAGTTAGGGTACCTTTTATAGAAAACACAGTTCTGGTGATCTAAGAGCATGGTGCCATCATTTGGCTCTGATGAAGCACGCCTGATTACATTACAATTTGATAACTTTAGGACAGGAATGTATACAAGAGGAAGTGATCATATGACAAGGCGGTAAATAGATTCAGGAGCCAGAACCTCTCTTTTTCATAATGACCCATACTCATGGGCGCTTCCTGGAGTCCTGCAAGGACTACATTAATTCCGCCTGAGAGCAGTGCCGCTTATGACCTAATTCCCTCCCACTAGGCACCATCTCTTAAAAGTAATGCCACCTCAACACAAGTGCACTAGGGACTATGGTCCTAGCATATAACTTTAAGGAGAGCAGAACAGCAAAGAGAATCTACACTCTTCCTCAATAATGCAATCCTTATACTTTCCTCTAGTTACAAGAAAGCAGGTTTAATATGTACTGTTATTTTCTAAATAAGCAGAGGTTTTTTGGGCAAGTTTAGTAAATTTTGATAATTATCTCATGATAACCACAATCAGTACTAAAATATTTGCATCAATTTAACAAGTTGCAGATGTAAGCTTATAGTCAGTCCCACTCCCACATTCAGCCCAAGGCAACTATTGATTTGCTGTCTCCATAAATTTACCCTTTAGATGTTTTGTTAATGGACTTACAATATAGATGCTCTCTGGATCTGGTTTCTTTCACTCAGCATGTTTTTTGAGATTCATATATGTAGTAACATGTATCAGTAGTTTATTTCTGGTTTTTGCTTAAGTAGTCTGTGTACCACATTTTATCAGTTAATGAACATTTGGCTTGCTTTTATTTTTTAACTATAATGGATAAGGCCGCTCTAAACATTTGTGTACAAGCCTTTGGACATATGTTTTTATTTTTCTTGGAGTGGAATTGCTGGTTTGTATACTAAGTTTAGCTTTTTAAGAATGTACTGAACGGTTGTCCAGTGTGGTTGCAATCATTCCTCACTCCAGCGCTGTAAGGAGGGGCTGGGGGTTGAGTTTGCCACATGGTTACTAGACTTACTATTGTATCTTTATTAAAGCTGTCCTAGTGGTTATGGTGTGGTATCTCATTATGTTTTTATTTTGAATTTTTCTATTACCTAATGGTGTTGAACATATATTTCTGGTTATTAGCCTGTCTTTTTTGATGTGTCTTTTGTCCATTTTTTTGGATTGTTATGTTTGTTTTATTATTGTATTATTAGTGTATTTTGGATAGAAGTCCATTATCAGATATGTGTTTTATAAATAACTTCTCTAAATCTGTTACATGTTTTTTCATTTTTTATGTTAAAGTTTTCAATTTTAAGGAAGCTTAATTTATCTATTTTTTCCCCTTTTTTGGGTCACAGTTGAAGTCTGGCAACAATGTCCAGTGAGTATTTGTGTGTGGCATAAGGAATGTGTCCAAAATTTTTTTTGTATCTGAATATACATTTTACCCAGCAGTATTTGTTGAAAAATTGTCATTTCTTATTGTAGTTGCCTTGGCACTTGGTTAAAAAACAATCAGTTAACCAAAATGTAAGGGTTTATTTCTAGACTGTCATTTCTGTTCCAGGGATCTGTGTGCCTACTCTTAAATCAGCATCAGGCTGTCTTGACTATGTTAGCTTTATAGTAAATTTTGAAATTGGGAAATGTAAGTCTTCCAGTGTTTTCTTTTTCAAAAAAAATTTTGGCTATTATGGGTTTATTTACATACAGATTTTAGTGTCAGCATGTAATTTGTTCCAGAGCAACCCTGCTGCAATGGATTTTGATAGGAATTGAATCTATAAATCTCTTTAGGAAAGAATTGTCATCTCAACATGAACATGGTATATCTATCCAATTGTTTAAATCTTTAATTTATTTTAATATTTGTTCATTTTACTGTGAAAATCTTGCCCTTTTGTTAAGTTTACCTTGAAGTATTTCATGTTTAATGCTATCATGGATAGAAATGTTTTAAAAAATTTGTGACTAGATTATTTGTTTCAGTATATAAAAATATAGTTGTTTATTATATATTGCAACCTTGGTGACCTGATTATTACTTCCAGTAGGTTATTTTTTTGTATGTATGAATTCCATATGATTTTCTATATATAGTATCATTTGGATTTGATATGAAATGGGATAAAGACAATTTTACTGGTTCCTTTCCATCTAGAAGACTTTACTTTCTTTTTTTTTTTTTGCCAAATTACTGGCTATAACCTCTGCTGCATTGCTCAGTAGCAGTGGAGAGAGCTGATATTTCTGACTTGTGATCACAGGAGCAAAACATTGAATCTTTTACTATGAAATATCATATTAGCTGTTTTTAGTAGTACTAGAATTGCACCCTCTGGCTCTCTGCCACTGATCTTTGACCTCAACCTCTTTTATTTTTTTATTTTGAGACAAGGTGTCAGTAATTTTCTCAGGTGGGACTTGATCTTGTGATCTTCCTGTCTCAAGCTTCCAAAGTGGATTGTGCCACAGTGACTGGCTTCATGTTAACTGTTGTTTGTAAATGCTCATTACCTTGAGGGCTTTTCCTTGTAATACTAAATGGGTAGGAATGCTTATGAAGAAATGTTGATGTTGCTGTTTTCCATCCAATGAGATGATCAGATGGGTTTTTTCTTTTATTATGATTTATAATGTTAATTGATCCACTAGTGTTATGTTAACCTTGCATTCCTGGGGGAAAATCATGCTTGATCATGTAGTAGAATCCTTTTTATACGTTGCTGGATTTGGTTTTAAAATATTATATTTAGGGTTTTCGTGTCTATGTTCATGAGGAACCCTGGCAGATAATATTACTTCATGTGATATCTTCAACTTTGTGGTTAATAGTGGAACCTTAGAATGAGTTGGGAAGAGCTTCCTTCATGTTTTCTGAAAGTTCATGAAGGACTACTATTATTTCTTTAAATATTTGATAGAGTTCATCTATGAAATCATCTGTTCTGAAATTTTCTTTTTGGTACTTTTCCAGTGACTTGGTCTCTTTAGTATCAATGCTCTGTGTGTGTACATATTGGTCTGCTCCAGTGCTGGCTCTGTGGTGGTGCGCACTGTGCTTCAGAGGCTCATGGGCACCTGCTCAGAGCCTGTGTCATCTGCCAGATTATTGCCTTGCACATCTGCTCCAGTGCAGGCATTAGGCGTTCATCTTCTCAGGAACCTACTTGGCCTGCTGCCAGGTTCTGGCCCCTGTGTATGTCTTCCCTACACAGGCTCCTTGAACCATGGTCAGGCATACCGAGTGGTCAACAGTTGACCCCCAACCTTCCTTCAAGGTGATCTGGGATCAGTATCTCAGGAGTACACTTCTCTGTGAACAGCTTTTCCTGATACTCTGAAGAGTAGTGTATCAGTCAGTACCTGAGAAATGCATTGTCTGCAAGATATATAAATATAAAAGGGTTTACAAGGTTGGCTTAAATGGCTGCCTATAGATTCAGGTGTGGACAAGTGCAAAAGAGCTATCTACATGCTGCAGAACCAAAGGAGCCAGGGCCTGGAGCTCAGTGTAGTATCCTGTGAGAGTTGGTATCAGGATGCTGAAGGGTCTGTCCTGGAAGTTGGGAGATGAAGACTGGAGCTCCTCTGAAGAAAGAAAAGTGAAACTTCCTTCCTAGTTTCCTGTTTATACCATTCAGGCAACTTGTCTCTCTAAGGTTGATTTTCCACCCAGAGCTATGCTGATCTAATTTAGTTAGGCATTTCTTACTCAACTTGACACATCTATCACAGATAGGTTTTTGACTAAGTAAGGTTCTACTGGTGAAGCGCCCATAATCGCAGCTCTACCACTCAGTGAGCCACAGCTATTTGGAGAGAAAAAGTTTTCACCGCATTCTTGAGGAGAACAGGTGTTCTTCCTGGGGCCTTCTAGCTCAGCACTAGGGCTAGCGGCTGCTTCTATATTTGTTCTTCCTGTGTTCTTTATAAAGTTTACATCTTACTGGTCAATCAATCCATTGTTACTCCAATCCCATTATACTGAATTATTCTTTGTATCCTTGAATATTTTCCTTTTTCAGTTTGTAGTGTCTCTTCCCTAATTAGACCCAGATTAATCACCTTCATTACTTTCAGTTTCCTCAAAGTTCATCTCTTGAGTTGTGAAAGTTCCAATTCATGAGCCGGGCGTGGTGGCTCACGCCTCTGATCCCAGCACTCGGGAGGCTGAGGCAGGAGGATCTTTGCGAGTTCCAGACCAGCCTGGGCTACAAAGTGAGCTCAAGGCCAGCCTGAACTGCACAGCAAGACCCTGTTTCAAAAAGACCAAAAAAAAAAAAAAAAAAAAAAAGAAAGTTCCGATTCATGGAACAAAAGACAAGTTTTGGTTGAGGAATATGTCAGGATTTTGCAAGTGATGAATTGGGCTTTATATTTTCTTTGTCCCTTTCCAGGCCTTTGGAAGTTAGAAAGAGTGAAGTATGTGGAAGGTAGGGTTGAGTAGGAGGAGGAGAGCCAAAGCGGGAGGCGTGGGCTCCCTTTAGATAACCTGCCTTCACAGGTTCCTTCACATGAAGGATATCTGCCTTCAGATAACCTGACTTCACATCTGATGATATTTTTTTTTTTGTCTTTCCCCCCTTTTTTTTAATCAGTACTGGGGATCGAACTCACGACTGCCTGCTTGCAAGGCAGGCGCTTATGCCGCTTAGCTAAATCCCCAGCCCCCCTGACTATATTTTTAATTTTTTGCCAATGGTTTCCATTTTTTAGATTTCAGGGAAGGGGCTCTTTTATATCCTCTAGAAAAATAATGTGGATTTTATAATACTGACTACACAGGCTCTTCCCTACACAGGCTCCTTGAACCATGGTCAGGCATACCGAGTGGTCAACAGTTGACTCCCAATCTTCCTTCAAGGTGATCTGGGATCAGTATCTCAGGAGTACACTTCTCTGTGAACAGCTTTTCTGTTCACAGAGCTACTCTGAAAGCTAGTGTGTGAACAGCTGACTATATATATTTCATGTAAATTTATTTCATTGGAATATGAGGTTTGGTTCTCTTGCAACTACCCATGAGACCCTTTGATGCCTCTTGCTCTTTGCTCCTTTTGTTCTTCCCTCCCTCCTTCTGTCTCAACACACACACACACACAATGATTCAGGATGGGTTTTTTTTTTTTTTAAAGTTTTTACTCTGTTGTTCAGACTGGTCTTGAACTATCTGTGTACTCCAGTCTCAAACTTATAGTGGTCTTCTTGCCTCAGCCTCCTGAGTGTTGATATTACAGGTATGTGTTACCATACCTGGCCAGGGTAGATTTGTTTTTTAAAACATACAGATGAAACTTATTAATATCTAGAACAATATCACTGGCAATTGAAATAAAATCATCAACCTCAGGGACATGCTGGATACTGACATAGGATAAGAACTGATAATATACCATTCTTAATCATAGAAGAGATCTAAGATTATTGTATAAACACACCAACCAAATATTTACCTACAGTAAATTGTTAATGCAACAACTGTAATTCCACTAACAATAGAAAAGTATTCAATAGTATTAACATAGATTTAACTATCTAAAGATGAATAAACCTTAATGGTTATACTAGCTAAGATGGAAGATGTGGGGAAAGAAGCCATAAAAAGGAAAATTTGAAAAATTTAGCAATGGAAGATGAGGACAAAAGAGCAGAGGGATAAAGGATCTCACTAAAATGTAAAAGGAAATTACTACAATTACATGAAAGTAACAGAAAAGTATAAAGTAGAAGAAAAATAATAAAAAATAAAAATTCAAAAAAGAAAATCTTAACTTGCCTCCAAAACCAGTGAAGGGAAAAGGTGAGTCCAATAAAAATTTCACAAGTAGTTTTCCAATATATGCATTTTTGGAAACCACTAGCTATGGTTTTCTTTGCCTAGACTTACGCTTTGTGGGTTTGTGAGGTACATCCCTGCTCCAGAAACTCTTCTCTGCACTCTCAAGCCTTGAATCTGAGGCTGTTCTTGCTTATGTTGGTGGGTAGACCTCTGTCTTTCTTTCTTTCTTTCTTTTTTTTTTTTTTTTTTTTGGTACCAGGGATCAAACTCATGACCTCGTGTTTGCCAGGCAGACGCTTATACCGCTGAGCTAAACTCCCAGCTGGTAAATGTTTTTCAAGAGTATAACTTTGGCTTTGATCCACAGCTGATCAGACTTGAAAATACTGAATTGCTGAATTTTTTTATTTAATAAGAATTTAGAGGTGCTATTTACTTTAGTGACTTCTAACATCTTCCTGAGACTGGTTCCTGTTATTGTCATTATTGTTATCATTATTGATATCATATCATATTGTCATTATTGTTATTGTTTATTGTTATCACTACTTAAATCAGTCACATTAAAGGCCTCATACTTAATCTTAACCCAAGTTTTCTGATTTTGTTGTATATTATATGTTGTATTTATGTGATGCAGTCCGTTTCTTTCCTTTTTAAAATTTTATTTATTTATTTATTGTTTTTGATACCAGGTGTCAAACTCACAACCTCATGCTTGCCAGCGAGGAGCTTGTGCCACTGAGCTGTATCCCCAGCTCTTTTTTTTTTTCTTTTAAAGAGAAAAAAAAAATTCCAAAACAAGATAACAGGAGGGTAACAATGGTTAATACATTACATATAGTTATCTTTAAATTACTCAGAGTCCAAGATGTAGGTATTTGATTGTCCAAACAATATTAGCACAAACCTTTCTTTTCAGTGAATTAAGATAAATTAGTAGTGTATCTTAGCTGTCTCATATGTATGTGTGTGTGTGTGTGTATATATATATATATATATATATATATATATAAAATTATATTTTTTTCATTTTTCTTTCTTTTCTCCTTTGCCCCATCCAGGTTTCTCTTTCCTTTCAAAGAGTTTCTTCCCTTTTTATGATATGTACCATATATTTTGGATCTTATTTACTGTTTCAGCTTCTCACATTAGAGGACAATATGATGTTTGCACATGTGCCTCTGGTTTATTTCACTTATAAGTGTAGTCTTGAGTTGCATCCATTTACTTATAAGTCTCCAGTTTGTCCTTTATGGCTGAGTAGTATTCCATTGTATAAAAAGACCACCTCTTTTTTATCCATTTCCCAGTTGATGGGCAATTGAGTTGTTTCTGAGATCTAGCTATTACAAATTGTGTTGCTATAAACATGGGTCACGCCGGGCGTGGTGGCTCACGTCTGTAATCCCAGCACTCAGGAGGCTGAGGTGGGAGGATCGTTGTGAGTTCGAGACCAGCCTGGGCTACAAAGTGAGCTCAAGGCCAGCCTGAACTGCATAGCGAGACTCCGACTCAGAAAGACAAAAAAAAAAAAAAAAAAAAAACCAAAAAAACACCAGAAAAAAAACATGGATCACATGCATTGCTGTGGTATGTTTTTATTTTACTTTTTATTTTATGGAAAAAGTTAAAATTTCATAATAAGATGATAGAATAACAATAATTAATACATTGCATATTATTATTATATTACTATATTTAAAATACTCAGAGTACAAGATATGGGGATAAAAATTTTTGAAATCTATATAAGTGCAAATCTTCTCTATGAACTAAGAAACACTAATAATATGATGAACTTGCATGTTTTCTTTTTCCTTCCTTTTCACCCATCCTAGTTCTGTTTTCCTTTTTAAAAATTTATTTCCATTTCACAATACCATTTGTATGTTTTAGACCTCATTTATGCTTTCAGTTTCTTACACTAGGAAATGGTGATATTTACACATGTGAGTCTGATTTATTTCACTAATGAGTATAGTATCAGATTGCATCCATTTATCTATAAAAGTCTCAATTTTGTCCTGTATGGCTGAGTCGTACTCTGTTATATAAAAGTACATCTTTTTTATCCATTCCTTAGTTGATTGGCATTTTGATTGTTTCTAGGATTTAGCTATTACTAATTGTGTAGCTATAGGTATTTGGTGCACATATATTGCTATGGTATGATGTTTTTAATTCTTCTGGGAAGATACCCAGAAGGAGAATGTCTGGGTTGAATGGGACCGCTAACCCAAGCTCTTTGAGGAATCTCCATACTGATTTCACAGTGGTTGCACCAGTCTGCACTCCCACCAACAGTGGAGAAGCATTCCTTTTTTCCATAGCCCTGGGGATTGTCCCATCCCATTGCCTCCTGAATTTGACTTTGGTGAACTGGATGTCCGGGGTTGCATCTTGTTTAAGTGTCTTCCCATTTTCTTTTACTTTTTTAGTTTAATTCTTGGGGTGATGTTCATAAATTGCTTATGGTAGGCTGTTTTATTGCTAGTATTTAGAACCCTTAACAGATGACTACTTCTCTGTAGTATCTTCCAGGTGTACTGCTTTTTGGGTTTTGTGTCTGTTGCAAGATCCTATGTCTTCAGCTTATTGGGAATGAGAAGTTGCTGCGTGTTTGTCGCAGTCCCTGATTCTTTGGCACTTTGATGGTTTTTCTAGGATCCTTAGCCAATCTCAGTCCTGGAATACCAGGAAGAGTAGCTGTTTAGAACAATTATGTCTCTTTTGGCTAAAGTGGTGCCATCAACAATCACAGTAGTATGAATCACAGCCTAGAAAATGACAAAACTGAAGTAACCATTAATTTGCCACATTTAATCATATGAACTAGATTTGTGGTTATATAACAAAATCTAAAACAGACCTGAAAATTATATGCAATATATGTCTTTAATATGTCAACTTTACCCTCAGGGGTTAAAATTTAAAAGTGATTGGGGAAAAAATAGAGAGGTAGAACAGATTAGAAGTAAGGCTGGCAAACAAAGAGGGATCATGCTATATTTGGGAAATTAGTGCAGAAGACTAGAGGGAAAGAGAGAAGGAAGAGATAAAAAGAACAGAATAAAACAAGAACCATGAAGAGGCTAGAAACCATGTTCAAACTTACATGTAAACAATATCAAACAATAAAGGAAAAAATACAGCAACAAGAACACAACAACAATAGCAAAAAGCAAAGAAGAGAGAGATGAAAAAGTCCACTTCTGGGTTTGCTGTCTCTGGGAGATATGTGCAGACAGGGTCTCAATCCATGTTGATTTAGTCCTGCGAGTCAGTAGTAGCTTTCTGGTGGGGTAGTGAGCCTGAATCTTCTGGTCAAAGCTAGACTCATTTGGCCTGAAGCCATCAGTGCACTTTCCAAGGGCCTGAGCCCTGCTGGGTTCAGCTGGATGAAACCAGCAGCTGCTCTGAGTTCTGAGCTCAACCTGCCCCTCTCCAGGTGGCTCCCAGCCAATCACTATTTACGCAGGATGATAGAGCCCCCAGCACTCATCACCAGCTAGTGGAGTCTTTCACATCTACTGCTCCCCTCCATTGCTGTGTCTCTGTCTCGTCTGGGGTTGCCAACAGTCCACAGGTTTGAACTGCGTCTCCATACTCTCTTGTCTCAGGAAGAAGGTACCATCAGCTGCCTGCTGCTTCTTTGTTGGAGTTTCTCTCTTACCTCTCTCTGTGGACCTCAGTTGCATTTCATATCCCTCCTGGATTTAGGGGACCCACTTCCCTCCTCCTTGTCTTCCTCTCATTGCTATATTCCAGCGTCTGGATGGCAGTATTCAGAGAGACTCTTTCTCTGCTGCTTACTACTCCATCATCTTGATGCCTCCAGTTATTGATTCTTGACGTTATCTCTGGTTTTGAAGTAATGACTTTTTCGCTGTTCTTATGCAACTTAAGTTTATACTGTTGTTTTCTCTCTCTCTGTGTGTGTGTGTGTGTGTGTGTGTGTATGTGTGTGTGTGTGTGTTATTTCTATAGTCCTTGGCTAGCTTCTTTAGGGCATGTTCTTATTATATAATAATCATTACTGACCTTGTTTTGATGCCTAACCAGTGTCCATCCTTCCATTCTGTTTCCCAATAGGGCCTAGATTTTCTTTTGGTAGATACCATTTTATAGGCTTTGGGGGACACTGATTGCACTTCAGCTCCTGGGATAAACTTTGATTGATTTGCCTCTTTATCCTGTCCTTTTTCCGCTTCCTCTCCCCTAGCTCCCCATCTCCCAATCCCTCTCTGCTTGATCACAATCATTGATTAATTGTGGGCATTAACTTTAGTCTGGAGACATTTGAGGTCTCTTATTGGGATAGAGTATATACCCTTTTCTAAGGCGTATGATGTGCCACATGGCTCCTGCAGTGGCTGAAGCTGTTTTCTCATCAATAGATAAGCACTGTGAAGAAATAGATCAACTTGGAAGTCTGCTCTTCTCTTGCTGATTTCTTGAACCATCAAATTCCTTTTTTTTTCGGGGGTTACTGAGGACCTCATGCTTGCAAGGCTTGCTTATGCCACTCCAGCCCTCAAATTCCTTTTATTACATTAGCCAGTTTTAAATGACTTACTAAATATCTGTATCCTCTGTATTTCTCAATTCAGGTAGTTTCAGCTAGGTCTAAATTTTAAGTAGGCTGTTTCCAGTAAGAAGCATTTCGAAACAGAATTATGACCTCACTTTATTTTCTTGGAATGGTGATTATGGAGAGTAGATGTTGAGATGTCAGGTCATCTATTATTCTGAATTGGTCTATGTGTATGTATTTACAGGGTGTTACAAATATTTTGATACATGAGTTTTGTTCTAGTCTGGGTAAGCATACATATCTCTTCAAACATTTATCATTTACTTTTGATGAAAACATTAAAAAATTGTTTCTATAGTTTTTTGAAATATACAGTACCATATTATGTGTAGCCACTCTACTGTGTGATAGAACACCAGAATTTATTTTTCCTATTTATAACTTAATACCTTATTCATTAATCTTTTCTGTCAACTCTTCCCCTTACCCTGACCAGTTTCTCGTAACTACTGTTTTATTCTCAACTTTTACGGCACTGAGTTTTTTAGATTCTGCATATGAGTAAGACAGTAAGGTTTTGTCTTTCTATGCCTGGCTGATTTCATTTAACACAACAACCTCTAGTTCTATCCACGTTCTTACAGATTACAGTTTAATGGGTGATATATAGAATATATATGTATATATACCTCACATGTACATATACACATATATGTATATATACACATTTTGTTTATTCATCAGTTGATGGTAACATAGCTTGTTTCTATTTCTAGACTGTTATAAATAGTGCTGCAATAAATAGGGGAGAACAGAGGTGTCTTTTACATATTGATTTTATTTACTTTAGATATATAGCCAGTAATGGGATTGTTGGATCATACAAGATTTCTGTATTTAATTATTTGGAGGACATGATAATATACAGTCTATTCCATTGTAGATTCCTGCCAACACTGCATTAGGATTCCCAGTATTTGTTATTTTTTGTCTTTTATAGTAGCCATTCTAATTGAAGTGAAGTGATAACTCACTATGAGTTTGACTTACATTTTCCTGATGATTATTGACATTGAACTTTTTTTTATTTGTATTTCTGTTGTTTATTTGTGTTTCTTTGTGAGAAATTACAATTTAGGTCTGTTGCCTACTGTCTTATTTTTTTCTCATTGCTGAGACAAAATACTCAATACTCGACGTTAAAGGAATTATTTCAGCACAAAATTTGTAGAAATTTCAGTGCTTCCATACTTGGCTAGCTCAAGGAAGGAAGGTATGGCAGAGGGTCATTGCAGAAGAGAAACAGTCCTGGTATAGCAGGGCAGCAGAAGGCAACAAGCAGCAAGAGCAGCAGCAACAGCTACAGCTTGCTTTCCCTTTTTATCCCTTTTAGGCTACCTGCCTTTTGGATGGTGCTGCCCACACCCAGGGTAGGCCTTCTCATCATCCACACCCAGCACTATGCTAAATCAATCTGGAATAGTTAGTAATCACATACCATTAATCCCAGCATCACATTCTTAAACTCAACGTCACATTCCATAGATCTATGACACCAGGAGGCCTCGGAGTAACATCTCAATATGAGCCATAATACCTGTTTTTAACAGGTATTTTAACAGGATTATTTTTTTCCTCATAAAGTTGAGTTTCATAAAATATTTTTTGCATGTTAATCTCTTGTCAGGTAGTACACAAATATTGTCTCCCATTTTATAAATTATCTCTTTATTCTTGATTGCTTTGTTTGCTATGCAAAAACCTTTTAGTTTGACATAAACCTATTTGTCTGTTTTTGAATTTGTTTTGTTTTGAGTCTTATCCCTGGTGTTGTAGTTAGGGGTTGTGCAGAGAACAATTAGAATCAGGACATGGAGTTTATAATATTATTTTTATAATGGTCACTGGGAGTTAAGAAAATGCAGGAAATCTATCTGCAACACCAAAGACATAGAATAAATATTAGTCAAGGGCCTTAAATCCCACAGCAATGTTCCACATGAGTCCAGATAAAAACCTAGAGTTCATGACAATGCCTCCCACCTGTCCAACTGGCGGTCCAAAGCCCACAAGACGGAATCATGCCAATCTGTTTTATGGATCCATGCTGGGAAGGCCCAAAGGTCAGTGGTGGAGCCAAATAGTCTATGCCAGTGGGGTAAAGGAGCTGTGCTGGTGAAATGAGGGTTCTACGCTGCAGCCAAGAAGTCACACTCACAACCAAGACCAGGGCTGTCCTGAAAGGCACCACAGCCATCCTCAGTGACACAGAGGCCCCAAGCTTCTCTTCCGACAACACAGTCGGGTACATGCCAGGAAGCCAGCGTGACGAGCTCATCCTGGAGACCAAGCAGCACACATCTTCCCCTCTGCAGCCAGGAAGCAGTGCTCGATGTGAGAACCAAAGCTTCTCCAAGAGAACCAGTGGCTCAAACAGCAACTCGTAGGAGAACCCACAATGCCTCAACGCAATGCAATAACACATCAACGCATTAACAACCTCCTCCTTTTCCACCTATTTATGCTGGCAACTTTCCTCAGGTGGAGCATCTACGCTCAGTGCCATGCTGATGTAATCCAGCTGGTGTTTAAGTTGATCACCAGTTCTTAATTCATAACACCTGGTCTTTCAAATTTTAGCCTTAATGGATATGTAGTGTGTCATTATAGTTGTATATTGTACTTCTCCTTTAATTAATGATGGGCTTATTTACTATTCATAGAGCTTCTTATGTGAAGTATCTTGGATTATTATTATTATTATTATTATCATTATTTTTGCTTATAACCTTTACACACATTTTTAGATAAGGTGGTTGGTACCTCCAAAAAAAACCCAACTCCTGGAATTTATCTTTTCATGCTGCTAGGGATCAAACCCACACATGCTAGGCAAGAACTGTATCTCTGAGTCACAATCCCCTCCTCCCCTCTTGGATGATTGAGATTACATCAAATCTATAGGTCAAATTAGTATAATTAGTAAGTTAACAATAGTTTCCCTTGTAGTCTTTCTTTCATCACTAAGTACAGTGTTAGCTGTAGGATTTTTGTAAATGTCCTTTGTCAAGTTGAAGAATTTTTCTTCTAGGCTTGGTGAAAGGTTTTTCATTTTTGTTTTTTAAATTGTGAATAGATACAAATTTTTGGCACTTTTTCCTTCTTTGTTGAGTTATACATTCTTGGGAGTTTTGTCCTCATTTAGTCACTTGAACTGTTTCTGTGGTAATGTTGGGAGTTCTTCTTTACAGTCATCATTTGTTTTGGAATCCTGTTATCTTGCATTAGCTTTGTCAGCCAACTCTGAAGAACAGGAATCTCTGAACTTTTGATGCCCAGATTCTTAGTTGACGGAAGCATTTAATCTTTTTTCCTAGTCATTCCTTTATAAAGTATCAAACATTGTATTTAGTGACAGTAAATGCTTGATGTGCTAATAAACTTTTTAATCACAGTGGCTTAATATAACATAGTGGTACATTGCTTCTGAACTCAGTTCTCTCGATGATTCTGCTTGCAAACTAAACTGGTTGAGAACCAAATCAAATTTCTCCAGAGGGTCAGCATTGAAACTAGTTATTGAACTTGATTTGATTCTCATCCAATTTGGTTTGTGACCAAAATCATGAAAGAAATCAAGTTTATCAACTAAAGTACCACTGTACAAGTGTTAATTATTGCTGGTGTTTCCTACTTTAATGTCAGAAGTCTTTTTTCTGCAGAGTCTCTCTGCTTCAGGGTCAAGACTCTCTTCTGTTTTGTGGCTGTTTCTTTCTAGAGTTCCAGCTGCATGTAGTAGGAACCAGAAAGTACAAGACGTGAGCAGTTTCAGGGGCCAGAGCTGGAAATGGTTTACTTAAATTGTGCCCTCAATCCTTTGGTCAGAACTCAATCAAGTGGACAAATGAGGACAAAATTTCCAAGTGGGAAATATTAGTTGTCCCCAAATGTGGGGAGCACTGTTGCACTCTTTTGTACTCGTTTGTGGTTCAGACAACTATGCTAAGTGTTGGGAATGTAACAGTGAATGAAATAGACTTGGGTCTTGTTCTAGTCAAGGTTGTCCTCTAGACATCCTTAAGAATTTGGTGAA